AAGGATGAGAAGAAGGAGAAGGATGAGAAGAAGGAGAAGGAGAAGGATGAGAAGAAGGAGAAGGATGAGAAGAAGGAGAAGGATGAGAAGAAGGAGAAGCAGAAGGAGAAAGATGAGAAGAAGGAGAAGGAGAAGGATGAGAAGATGGAGAAGGAGAAGGATGAGAAGAAGGATGAGAAGAAGGAGAAGGAGAAGGATGAGAAGAAGGAGAAGGAGAAGGATGAGAAGAAGGAGAAGGATGAGAAGAAGGAGAAGGATGAGAAGAAGGAGAAGGATGAGAAGAAGGATGAGAAGAAGGATGAGAAGAAGGAGAAGGATGAGAAGAAGGAGAAGGATGAGAAGAAGGAGAAGGATGAGAAGAAGGAGAAGGATGAGAAGAAGGATGAGAAGAAGGAGAAGGATGAGAAGAAGGACAGTTCTGTGACAGTTTCTGTCTATTTCTGACAGTTCTGGGACATTCACTCCATACAGCGGTTTCAACCGCTGTATGGAGGGAATGTCATAGAACTGTCAGAAATAGACTATTTCTGACAGTTCAGGGACATTCACTCCATACAGCGGTTGAAACATTGTATCTATTTGTTTCCATAAATGGATCCATTTATGGAAACAAATAGAAGAAGAAGAAGAAGTAGGATGAAAATAAGAATAATTCCAAGCCGGCAAAAAGTGTATGTGCAGAGTTCCTCTATTCTGCAGATACACTTAGAGGAGCTCTGCAGATACACTTAGAGGAGCTCTGCACATACACTTTTTGCCGGCTTGGAATTAATCTTATTTTCATCCTACTTCTTCATCCTCATCCTTACACTTTTTGCCGGCTATGGAATTATTCTTATTTTCATCCTACATTCCAAACCGGCAAAAAGTGTATGTGCAGAGTTCCTCTATTTCTGACAGTTCTCTGACAGCTTCTTCACATGTACAGCGGTTGAAACATCTGTATCCTAAATGGAAACTAATAGATACAATGTTTCAACCGCTTTACATGTGTTCCTTCTGTCAGAGAACTGTCAGAAATAGCGGAGCTCACTGCAGGGACACTTTTGCCGGCTGATCGGGAAATATTCGATTCGCGCACACCGAAGTAGGCAAAATTTCGGATTCGACGCGAATCGAATATTTCCTGAAATTCGTATCGAATTCCGGTTCGCCTGGTTCGATTCGCTCATCTCTACTTACCACCAAAACCGACGGGATACTAGACCACGTAAGGTCATTATCCAGGCTTTCTCGTCCTATATCTTCCTAAACCCATTTCCCAATCACAAGCAAGAGAACTAGATGGAGCTTTGACATTGACAGATCTACAACAGGCCATCACACAATTAAAACCAGGTAAAAGCCCGGGCCCAGATGGTCTTACAACCGCATATTACAAATCCTTCATAGACATCCTCGCACACCCATTCCTAAAGGCCTTCAATTCACTGGATACCCCAGGACAGTCCATGCACCACCTTTCTGATTTAAAGATTTTTGCCAAAACACTGGTTTACTTCGCATCATAGACCCCGTTATCTCTACTGACCAGGTGGGGTTCATACCCGATAGAGAGGCTAGAGACAATACATTCAAGGCAATAAATATACATCATTGGTTGATACAGAAGAAATAATCTGGCTTTTTCCTCTCTCTAGACGCTGAGAAGGCCTTCGACAGATTGGCATGGGACTACATGGAGGCTGTTCTGACTGACCTTGGGCTTCCTCCACGTCTCTTGAACTTTATCATATCCTTATATACAACACGAATGGCTAAAGTGACAGTCAATGGCCTCCTTTCAGACGCTTTTTCAATAAGCAATGGGACCAGACAGGGTTGTCCATTATCCCCCCTCCTATTCATTCTCACGTTGGAACCTTTTTTTGAACTGCATTAGACAGAATGATAACATCAAAGGAATTTTAATCAATTGCAAAATTCACAAAATAGCGGCCTTTGCTGACGATATCTTACTTTTCCTGACAGACCAACATATTACGCTACCTAACTTACTACACATTTTCACATTATTTCAGTACTTGGCCAATTTTAAAATTAACTTCAATAAATCCCAAGCCCTCAATGTTTCCCTAACCCAAGATATGGTCAGACAGGTGAAAACTAACTTTCCTTTCACATGGCAGTCCAAGGCCATCACTTACTTAGGAATTCAATTACCGACTCACCTTACAAAACTCTATGACAAAAACTTTTTACCCATCCTACGTAGTATCACCAAAGATCTGCAGACATGGGACAAATCATTTTTCTCTTGGTTTGGCAGAGCAGCGATCCTCAAGATGAACGTGCTCCTTACACTACTATACCTGATGCAAACGATTCCAATGAAACTGCCTAATTCCTTCATTAAGTCCTATAAAACATTATGTACCTTGTTTCTATGGTGTAACAAACACCCCAGAATCGGTTTTGAACAACTTACCATGTCTAAGATGAGCAGAGGTATTGGACTACCTGATATCACCTGCTACTTTAGAGCCTGTCACATGGCAAGAATAGTAGATTGGTCTACAAACCGCAACCGTAAGGCTTGGGTTAATTTGGAAGCTGCATTTTCGGGGACCCCGCTCACCACCTCCCCTTGGCTGAAAAAATCCCACATTCCGTCTGAGTTCAGGAACACCTTCTTATATTCCCCACTCTATTGTGTTATCATCAGATAAGTCAGAAAACAGGTTTCTCTTCCACCCCTGGCCCACTCACTTCTATCAAAAATTAACTCAGACTTCCCCCCTGGTATGTCTCGTGCCTTTCTCGCCGGGTCTAACCCCACAGATAACTTGAAGTTGCATCAACTTTTTCAAAGATGAGACGTTCTTACCCAGAGACCTTCTTCTAATCAAATGGCCATCCTTAACCTTGACGCTGTGGATGTACAAACAGCTCCACCACTTTATACAAAGCTCCTCACATCTAAAAAATTATACTAGGCCACTCACCCCATTTGAAAAACTTTGCTCAACAGACTCTCCCCAGAGACATGTTATATCTAAGCTCTACACATGCCTCGAAAACACCACTGACCTTCCGTCTAGGAAAGCTTGCAAGGCCTGGTGCTCTGACTTACAACTCCAATTATCGCCAGAAGACTGGGATCACATTTACGAACATATACACAAAGGGTCCATATGTGTCTCTACACAAGAAAACAATTTTAAACTATACTCTAGATGGTACAGAGTTCCATCCCTGCTTCACAAATTTGACCTTAACATCTCAGATTCGTGTTAGAGATGTCACCAGGCGACGGGTACACTTTTGCATATCTGGTGGGACTGCCCATTGCTGCAGCCTTTCTGGGAGAAAATCCAACCCATAATCATGCAAGTAACTACGTACTCATTAGACCTCCACCCCCGCACAATTTCCTGCTCCACCATTCCACATTTCCACTTAGGACGTACCGTAAATCACTCGCCATGCACATGGTCAACGTGGCAAAACAATGTATCCCAGTCCACTGGCGCTCAACACATGTTCCCACTATTTGAGAATGGTTTGCTAGGATCAACAAAATTGAGGAAATGGAGGAATTGATTCCTGTAGCAAAAGAACATCCCAAGAGATTCAGGAAGACTTGGGCTTGTTGGAGTCATTTCAAAACCACCACTACCTATCACCTCCTAGTGCATGAACAGCCTATACCCCCTGACTGAATGATTAGACACAATGCTATACTAGAGAATGCCCTGTCCACGGAAGACGCATTTGGTGCACATTTGGATGGGCTGAGTCTCGGCATCGTGGCCTGCATTTCGGATTCTTGAACCACGTGTTACCCCTTTGACTGATCTTGCACGTATTGCACCCTAAACTATATGACTATCTTTTTGGCTCGTACAAAATGATGTGAATTATTTTATCCACAACTATCCACTTTAACATCCCCCTTTACTCCCTATCCATTCCCCTCCCCCCCCTTTTATTTCTCTTTCTTATTCCCCCCTCCCCCCCACTACCGCGCTCTTCATCTCCATCTCCTTCTCTAACTATTCTCCTTTCTGCCTTTTCTTTATCTCACACCTTTTATACGCCTTCACTATTCATATATTCCCAACAAATATAGCATTTAATCTCTCATACAGGTGTGACTGATTTCACATGACTCCCACGCTCTTGAAATGGACGAACAAATCATATCATACAAATTATCCTGTGCTAGCATTACCCAACACTTCACATTCCCTTAACATAAGGGCTCACAAGTACATAGGTCAGTAATCAATATACCTATTTCGATTTATCTATTATACTCTTTATATCTACTGGTTTGCTATATATATTTGCAATAAGGATATATTTTACCGATGTGCACTCTTGTTTAAACCCATGGGCCGTCTGCAAAACGGGATACAATGTTGTGTCTATGTTCGGACTGTGATCCATATTTGTATGTACACTGCTATACCTAACTTTTTCTAATTAAAAGTATTTTTGGGAAAAAAAACAAAAAACAATAAATATACGTGGGGTGGGAGATGGAGACAGAAAATCTCTCCAAATCCTTGTAGAAAGGTTTTACTGGTACCACACCCCTATTTGGAAATGCAGTGAATATAACCCTAACAAGAAAAAGCTATCAGAGTTTTAAAAGTACCAAACCATATACTGTAGAACAAATATGGGAAAAAAATAGAAAACAATTTACCGTATTTTTCGCTCCATAAGACACACTTTTTTCCCCAAAAAACATGGGGGAAAACGTCTGTGCGTCTTATGGAGCAAATACTGACCAGTCCTTCACCTTTCACCGCCGCCGTGTTAGGGCCAGCGGCTGTCCCATCCCACTGCAGCCTGTCCCCTCCCACTTCAGGCTGTCACTGAAGTTCACCCTACCTTATCCCCTCTCTCAGCGGGCTGTCGCCGCAGCTCTTCATAGCAGGCAGTCCCCTCGCCGAACCCAGCCAGCTTGCTCTGCAGTCCTGTCCGCCCTGCAGGCGTGCCCTGTCCTCGGAGCTCCTCCCTGTTCCTAGCATGTCTATGTACTGTGCTCCCTGCTCTGCAGTCCGGTCCGATCTGCAGGTGGGACCTGTCCTTACAGCTCATCCCCTTTCCTGGCATGTGTCCATAGTGCGCTCCCTGCTCTGCAGTCCGATCCTTTCTGCTGGTGTGGCCTGTCCTCCGAGCTCAGTGCGTTCCCTGCCTTCTATAGCCTGCCTTCTGTAAGTTAAAAATGACAGATGCTGGGAGTTGTAGTCCTTTTCCTTTATGTATGGTGTCAGATCATTTGATATTCTGGGTAGAGGGGCCCTGTTGGAACTTTATATGATGTAGTATGTCCGCAGTCTCTGGTCATCTCCTGTACTATGTCCGCAGTCTCTGGTCATCCCCTGTACTGTTTCCGCAGTCTCTGGTCATCCCCTGTACTGTGTCCGCATTCTCTGGTCATCTCCTGTACTGTGACCGCAGTCTCTGGTCATCTCCTGTACTGTTTTCGCAGTCTCTGGTCATCTCCTGTACTATGTCCGCAGTCTCTGGTCATCCCCTGTACTGTTTCCGCAGTCTCTGGTCATCCCCTGTACTGTGTCCGCATTCTCTGGTCATCTCCTGTACTGTGTCCGCAGTCTCTGGTCCTCTCCTGTACTATGCCCGCAGTCTCTGGTCATCTCCTGTACTGTGTCCAGAAATTATCAAATCCACTATGTCACTTAGGGTCTGACTGGAGACCATTCAATACCTTTCAATTTATGTGACTTAGTAAGTATACAGTATATACATTTTTTGTTTTTCCCTTTTTGTTTATGTTTGATTCATACCGCATTTTGCATGTGTCTGGTACACATAGTAGACCAATGTCTATACACTATTGTTATGTTTGGCAAATTGCTAAACAATACAATTTTGGTTCATAATATCAACTTTCAAAACCTGCTCTGTTTTCAACAGATTGTGATATTATTACATGATGTTGTCCCTGCTTCCCTGATGTGCCTCTATGTATGGACACCCACTCTGACATAATGTTTCCTCCAATGACTAACTACAAAAACATGTGTTTTTAGGGCAGTAATTGTAAGTGGATATCTGTCCAATTTATGTTTTTGTACGTAGAGAAGTTTATTTTATTTTTATTTTTTATTTTGTGGTTTTTGATTACATATATCTGCATATACAGGTCAACAATCAAATTTTATTTTATTGTAGATGCAGCTTTCCATAGCTCCAGAAGAAGCGACTGAGAGTTGCGAAACATGTAGAGCCACTGTTCAACTGAGGTTTTATTAGCTCTGTACTATGACAATATACCTGCGTTCAATCAACTACAAGATCATCCTAACCATCAGTGATCCATTTTTGGTACCAATCAGGTCATATGGTAATTTAGAAGCAGTAGGAGTATACTGGTGGTGAAGCGCTACACGTAAATATATATTACGCCTATAATAATATATTAATACATATGAATTAAAAATGAAACACAGCATAGATATAAAGTGCTCTAGCTGGTGCTTTTTTTAAAAAAACGGATACCAAGCGTTAAAGTGCAAACAGGTCAGTCAATCACTGTCCTGTACCCAATGTGTCAACAAAGAAAACTCTCATGAGGTAAAATTGATGAGAAGATAGATATATCACACTCTATTTAAAAGTGACAAGTGCTCTGACTGCAAACCTATAATTTAAATATATCAGTAAAACATAGTCCACAATAAAGTGCAATACATCGTGCAAACAAATCGATGTGCAAACAAGGCAAGGTGCTTCAATCTTTCACTCCAAACATGATGCGTGCTTGTGTGACACACGTGTGTATCACTATCCAAAAGTGGCTAGAGTGCCTCCTCACCTCCTTAAAGCGACCCTAAGGGCCACAGCGCATTGAGCAATAAGTGCTCCACAACCCTGGGGATCTCAGATATTTGGCTCCTATGGTTCCACTCAGCCTCCACTGTCAGGTCACTTTTCCCCTCAGATGGTGGTCACAACATCAGGGATATCACAAGGCCATAAAGAGGTAGACAAAGAGAGCCTCCATAATGCAGTATTATTTATTCAAAATAGCATATAAATAAGCCAAAGAGACACTCACAGTTATGCAGCTACAATACAGCGGTTTTCTGTGCTGTGGGTGTACTGCAGGTCCTTGGGTGTCCAAAGATGGCCTCTACCGGAAATCCATAATCGGAAGTGAACGTTTTAACAGACAACTTGGAGATTTTCCCTTACTTCTTGTCCAGGTGACAGCATTGTCATAGGGACAGCAAATCTTGAAGAATCAGACAAAATTCAAGCCACTATGGAGGCTCTACAGGGTAACTATATGGACCTCGGATACTGGTGTTAAGCCTTCAGCTGATCTTGGGGGGGGGGGTCTCTTTAGGCATCTGACCTATGGGGAACCCAGACAGCTTTCGGACCCCGGCGGCTGGGTAACCGGTCAGCTTCCAGGCCCTAGCGGTAGGGCGCATGCTCAGCTACTAGAGTCGGGTGGCATGCCATCCAGAGGGTTGAAAGACTAGGGCCTGAAGGGTTCAAGAGAATCTTAAGACACTGAAGGGAAACCTTCTTAGACTTAACCTGCACCCACATGGACTTTCAGATGAAAGGCAGAATGGAGCGTCTGGAGGCTATTCCTCAAGGTGAGGGAACTGTCAGGACTTGTGTCATTACCTGGGTCACCTGCTGTTGGCACTGTTGGCTCCCAGAGTCAAAGGGCACAGTTCTGTTGGTCACCAGCGGGTGTCTCCCAGAAGCTGGCCTGTCCGAGTAATTAGGCTACACCTGATGTGGGCTGCTGGGAGGTATATAATCCTGCCCATAACTGAGGTTCAGTGTTTCAGAATTCTTCATGCAAGCAGTGTCCCTGCTTGAGCCTGATCCTTATACTTGACCCTTAGACCTGCTCTTATGACCTGCTCCCTGTATTCTGTTTCTTGCTCTTAGTACCTTAGTTCCTGCTTCCCATGTCTCCTATCCCTGTCCTGACCTTGTCCTGCCCATGTGTGTTAGTTAGGTTGTTTTTTGGGGTTTTGCACTGTCGTGTTTATTTTGTCACTTGCATTGTTTATGATTTACTAGTGTATTGGAAGTGTGTTGTTTGTCTCAATAAACTTATTTTAAACATATTCAGTATGATTCCTGATTACTTAAGGTACAGACTACTGATCTGATCACCCTTGCTGGATTCCTGCATCCATGACACTGTGTGTGTCACCTTGTGTTTCTGTACCAAGGCCAAGCATTCCAGGCTTTGTAAACTTTTGATCAAGGCCATTTGGGTGATTTCTGTTATCATTATGATTTAAAAAGGAGCCAAACAACTATGTGACAATAAATGCCTTCATATGATCAATATCCTTAAAAAAGGTTTTTTTTTTGGAATGATCAGTCATATTTTTACTATCAATGTCAACATTTCATGATTTCTGACAGGGCATGCAAACTTGGTATGAGGTATATATGTATTTTTAGCAGTATTCCCTTTCTGTTATATTACATCCTGTTCTGTAAAATTGCTGAGATATACACACTGAGACACAAATCTGCACCCACACATAAACAAACATGCACACACAAATACATAAAACCACATGAAAACAGAGCAGACACAATTATTTTTTTTTTTTTCATTTAATATGTATTATGGGAATTAGGTAATATTAATGTAACTTAATCCAATAATGTATATGCTTTGCATGTATTGTTACTTGGATCATTGAGTATTATAATAATAATGGCGTTGGTTGGTATTTAAAGCACCCAATCCCCAAATGTATATAGATATCCAAAAAGTAAAATAATAAGGGACTTTGAAGGTGCTGGTACTTACAGGAAGGGCAGAAAATCAAAATATGGGTAAATTCACATTATTTTATTGTACATTGCACATTGAAATGAATAGCATGTGATAAAGCACCCTTTGTGTAGCTTCATCCACCCCACATATAATTAAAGTGGTTCTAAAGCTAAAACATTCTTTACCTAAATGCATTCCCTACATTAAGGTAAAAAGTATTTTACAAGTTGCTTGATCCAGTGCTGTGCACACAGCTGAATCTCTTTTCTCTCCTATCCCACTGCTCATAGGGACTGAAGCAAGAGCGGGAGTCATTGGCTCTTGCGGCTGTCAATCAAATGCTAAGAGGAGTGAGTGTGGAGTGGGGATGTGCCATACTAAGTGCGCCTATGGATGCACACAGCCTGGCTTGGGATCAAGCCAGCGGGTCTGCCCCCAAAGCAAGAGGTTTGCTATGGAGGCCGCCGGAGAAGAAGAGGAGTGGACAGCACTGGCTAAACATAAGGCTAAACACATTGTAAACATGTTACTCAAAAAGGCAAAACACAAAACACTATGTAGTCAGATGTAAAGTGGAGTTGTGTGGTGCAGAACCAAAGGAGGAGAAAGGAGATCCCAGACAGTGATTGCCCTAAGGAGGCAAAGCAGCCACCAAGTAGCTCAGGCATGAGAGCTAGAACATCACTGCCTCTCGGGGAATCTTGAGTGAATTTTTTACCCTGCAGAAGCAAATTGGATCATGCTTTGATGTTTTTTTTTTCCTTCCCCTGGATCAACTGTTACACACCAAGAGATGCATAACATGTGGGAATTCTGCTTTTAAGATATATCAGATGTTCCACTTATAGAGTGAAAATTCTTTAAATAAAGGTAAATGTAAAAACCAACAATTCAAAAAGAAAAATATTTTACAAAAGGATAATAATCCTGATACCTTCTGCTAAATCCCTGTAAATGTATATACCCCATGTGGACTGCAACTAGCACCTGAGCTCCTCTGTGTCTTCTTTGCCTTCTTGGGGCGATCGCACTCTGAGGCCTCTTTTCGCCTATCATCTAAATACAGTATATGCAGTATCTTTTATTATTAGCAGCTTGGTGTCTCCTGAAGAAGCCTATCTCTTGAAATGTGCCCCCACTCTCCATCAACACAGCATTCTACTAATTATTCTGAGATTACATCTTTCTTTTCTTCTATATGTAAAGTATTACACAAGTTCTTTATGCTTTGCTGCTATTTTTTAAATAATGTGTTAGGTATACACAGGGCGGGTGGGGCTACAAACAGGCTGTTCTATCACATTCTATCTAATAATTGATGTTCTATGTGACTATGCTATGCACTCGACTGTGAAGTGCACTTATTTTATCAATTTTGATATGCAATGTACAATAAAGTAATTTGATTTTTTTTTAATTTTGCTTTTGTTTCCTTCCTGTCTGTAAAAGCCTCCTTAAAGTCCCATATTTGGATTTATATTGAATAATGTTTGCATCATTTTATATGGAGGTCTCTGGAACTCAGATAGGTTTTGTAATGTTAGTGCTGGGAGCATTCTAATAACCTCAACATGCCAATTGTATGAATGAATGAGGTAAACAATATGCTACTTGTGTTTATTTTTACAGAAGGCATGCTTTAAAATAGCTGATTTAATTACCCGCTATCTAATGCTTAACATGTAGATAAATTCAATAAATTCACATATGAAGGTTGCCTGCATCACACATATAGACAGTGTAATATTGGAAGCCGGAAGCCCATTGTCACATCTGAGCTATTTGCTACATCTGATAATTTATCATGAAGCAAGTCTACCACATTAACATGACTTAGC